CCTCTGTAGGCGCTCTTTGTCATTTTGAGGAGGTTGAAAACAGAAGAGAAACACTTACGAGAAAAGTGCAGCCCGTATTCAGCATGGGTTAGATAAACAAAACACAGCTGAAGCCCTCAGAGTTGCAGAGAAAGATGGGAAAATGCAGCCTTTGCCATTTCTCTGTTCTGACTCGACGGGGAGCAAGCAATTCAGGATTTAGGGTTTGGAACGGCTGCACGTACAGGACTTGCGGCTTGTGATGAGCCCAAAGCCTTGATGACCAATTCCATTTTTGTAGTTTCGTGCCCCAAATCTTCCATTCAGTATCTGTCGTGCGTAGAACTATCCCACGCCGTCCACCCTGCAAGCCTTGGGCTGTGCTGCAGTGTGTGATGAGTGTCTACACGTACAATGCAGCACTGTTTTCGTGCCATGTATGCAGTTCTCGTTCGTTTGGAAATAAAGTTGAAAAACATAGTACACTTCAGGGGGCCTCAATTATTCCAGTTACTTCCAATAAAGGAGAACAGTGGGGCTCAATTATTCCAGCTAGTTCCAATAAAGAAGAACAAAAATTAACAGGGCTTGTGATGCAACGAAGCAACAACAGCAGCGGGGCCGCAGGAAGTGTCAGATTATGCAAGAAAAGCGTAGTAACGTAAGCTAACATGGTGGAAACCGATTTGATGGAAGCACGACGTATCATCCAGTTTTTAGTGTGTGTTGATTCGGCTTCAATCATAGATTGAGCACAACATTAGACAGCAGCGAACACCGCATCTGTAACTGAGCACCGTGCAGCTGAGCGGCGCAGTACAGGGAGAGAATCGCACCGAGTGAATTTAAGAACATGCACACGTGAGTGTCTTGGCCCCGCAAAAGATACACTCATACATTTTCAAACTGATTTAGTGAATCAGGGCTTTCACGATACCTTAACAAACACGCTTGAAATATCCGCTTGGCTATTCCCGACAGGACCTCTACAAGGGGAAAAGCAAGACGCCATGCATGAAATTCTATTGCCATTATTACTCCTTTTTAATATGTGCAGCGGGTAAGCAAGGAGAAGACACAGAAATAGCAGCACGTCATTGTCTGGTGTTGGCTGGTGAAACGCGAAATCGCGCTGCGGTAGCCTCTTCGGTAGTATTCTTCTCTTGCTCTCTAGATGTTACACTTTCTTGATTGCCTCTCTTCTACAATTAAATATGAATTTTTTGTTGATAGTAGTCTTGCTTTTGGTTTTAATTTGTCCCCATAACTCGTCGTTTCAATAAAGGGTTCAGTGGTCCATTGGTTTGCCGTTGACCACTGCGGCGTGTGCTCATAACCCAGGCCAACAAAAGGCAATATATCAAAATTTTCAATAACATTCACCGACTCTATACTAGTAAAATGTTTCAGGACATCAAGAAGAGTTTGTGTGGAGGGGACTCAGCGAATGCTCTGTCAGGTGACTGGGCGTCCATGTTGCGCCAGCACTTCAGAAGCCCTTGCCTTGACTTTCATTTTCATTAACTTATTAAGCTCGTGCCGCACAAACTTCTGGCTGAAAGAGGGCTGCTATGTTCTCGCAGCCTACTTTTAGCCGCGTCGATATCACCATGTCGTTTTACTTGTCACTCTGCTTCTCTATTTTTATACGTATGCTGCTCTTTCATTCTCTCAAATGGAGTTCGTTTGCTTAATTTTGCCTCCGTTGCTGTCCCCCCAGCTCTGTCTGCTGCTGTAGCATTCCCCCTTACTGTTCGTAGCTCTGTCTTGTTTCACGTATCTTGTCAGTGTCTATGGTAGAGTTTGCGCACCCCTGTATGCCTAAAGTGTACTCACCCCTCTATGCACTTCGACCTGTCCCTATGCCTTGACATCTTACACGCTTTTTGACAGCCGTGCTTACTAAATCAAAAATAGACAATTTTCAAGCATTTTCTGGCCAATTACTCAACTGTTAATATTCTCTGTTGTATAAATCGCAGAGGCAGTGAAAGCACAGAGGAGACGCATAGCGCGCTCTATACGCTCATTAGAAAGACAACACCAGAAGGCGGAGCTTGAAGAACAAAAACTTTTTAACCAGCTGAAAACCCAAGCCACAAATGGAGTAACGAACCCTTTACATCAAATCTTAAGTTTTTAATTCCGAAGGAGAGTGGGTAGTAGGCAATAAATACCAGACTATATGACTTAGCGTGCACTACAATGGAATAGTTTCGTCAGCGAGTTTCAAAGTATAAATGCGTATGTCTAAGCACTGAACCGTATGTGTAAAATCCTCACGAGTGGTTATCAACCCCTAGCACTAGCTGTCATTGTTGTTTTGTGCTTATCTCAGCGCATTGATACACTTCAAACCAAGCAGCTGATTGTACTCAGGCGGAGACGAGGAGCCATCCTTCGCTGCAAGGCTCAACTAGGGGCAGCTGATCTTCAGGCAAGTCAGATGCTATGGGCCATAGACTTTAATGCTACCCTTGGCAAACATCGCAGTTTTCCCTGCCCTTAGGATGCCTAAGCGCGATTCGCAAGTAATTTTCTGGTTCGGGGCTTACGCCTAGAGTTTACCGTTCCAGGCACAGGGTTTCAGCTCTGGAGCCGTCGTTGGGCGTGACAGGTTCAACAGCAACAAGCGACCCAGGAGCTCCACAGACACTTCAGGGGCTGCGCAAAGGTGCGGAATGAAGTCCCGGCCACAAAAATGAGTCCTAAACTAATAACTCTGATTCAAGGATGCTGAGAAGGATCCCGGAATATTTAGCTGTTAATCGTTGCCTGATGTTTTCAACTTAAGTTCCTAAAGGCTACGCTCAGCAGAGTACTCCAAATATTCAAGCCTACACCGGGCAACAAATGATCATTACTGCTAGTGATATCGCTTGTGCCTTGTGCTTTTACTGACAGCTTTTGTCTTTAGCAAACAAAGCAGCAGACCTACAAACCATGCAGCTGGCCGTCAAGGGCTTCACACGAGAGTCTCTCAAGCTCGGCTTAGTGGTATTATACCCTCGACTTTAAATCGTAAAGACTGTCTCGAGTCCTACTTGATGCCGCCTGAAGCTTAAATTCGATATTTTACTCTTCTAGTGTCTTGCGTTTCCTCAGGATGAAATGCTGAATGAAGTTCTGGAAGACGGCACGGCTCAGTTTGTGAGCTCGGCTCATTTCTGAGCACATTCTGAAGAGCCTGAAGGCTTAACTGTACTTTCAAGGCAGTGAATTGTGTATACATTCCTTCCTTTGTGTGCGTAACAGTGTAATACGTAGGATTAAGGAATCAGTACTTACAGTTGGCGTTTAAGGCTTGAGGCTTTGTGCTGGCTGGTTTTGTAGCAGGAGGACGAAGCAGAAACGGAGGAACAAATCCTCCAAGAGCTCGTTGAATGTGCAAACTCAGAAATTGATAGACAGGTCAGACTCCCATCGCTAAAACATAAGCTGCTCACTGTATTTTGAAAACACTAGGTGCTAAGTCATGACACTCGCCTGCAGGCGTGATCTGCTATGGTACTGCATTGTTCAAGCCCCCTATCGGCAAATACACCCATGCAAAAAAGACCTGTTCGATCAAAGGTTTAGGCGGCAGGTCGGACATAGCAATCTTATTCTCTCGTGGGCAGTTAGACTCCCAGAGAAGAATTTTGGAAGCAAGTTTGGTGTGCATTGCAGCTACCGCAGCGGGAAGTTTCCTGCCCATCAGCTGTTAGGGAGGTTCCGCGACTAGGGCAGCAGGAATCTCTGCAGCAGCACCAACAACTGCCAGGAAGGAAGCACAAAAAGCTGCTGTTGCAGAAGCTCTCGAACAACCCACGTTCATCCAGGGCACCATGGCTAAGTGAGTAAAACCTGCACCTAAAATTAGAACCTCATTCGTAGTAAACCCGGAATATCAACTTTTCTTATTGAACGCCTTTTCAGGGCTCAAAGCTCAGGGTCTACTGTTACGGGGGGTGTGGACTGCAGCAAAGGACGAAGCAGCAATAGCCGAGCATCTGGAGCAACGCCTAGGGTCTCTTTTGCGATAAGGCATAGAATTTCGGGTTGAATATCTGGTATAAATATACCTTCAAGCCTTCTAAATGATCCTTGAGATAGTTGCCTATAGGGGCCCCCGTTCAGCGGGTTGAAGTGTCGGTGGCAACATGCTGTGGCTCGTCTGCCTCCGGATGGGCTGGATTAACAAACCAATTATTTTGTCTCAATAGCTGTTGTACTACTTTAAAAGTTTCATAGTTCAGAAATTGGGGTTAAACCTTTGGATATTAAGAATGGAGGTTTGTCTCTGAAACGGAAGGAATAAACCTACAAAACCGAAGCCCATAGCCTTAAACCCTCACAATGTACAGAGGAGAAATGATACTGCAGGAGGCGAGGAGAAAGTCAAGAATATGTAATTCTGCTATTATAACTTATTACTTGGGGATTGCAACTGGCATACATCAAAACTCAGAGAAGGACCTCCCTTCCAATTCAGGGGGTAAGTACACAAACTAAAGAGACAAAGGGCGAAAAGAAATAGAAACAGAAAACGACGAACAAGTAAACAAATGTGAAAGAGGAGTGACCACAGGCGAAACAAATAGAAGAACGGCACGCAAAGGCAAAAGAAGTAAACTGGGACATAGCGTACGCATAGAGCCAGGTAAATAAAAAATTCGACTGAGAAAAAAAGAAGAGAAAATGATTTACGGAGACGGAGAAAAAGCTTTGATAGGCACAAGCGAGCCAAGGATATCAGCAAGGCATAGGCACGAATAAAAAAGGAGCAAGTAAGAAGATTTCTTGACACTCCTGAAAAAGCGACAATGGTTTTCCGCCGCCTTTCCCCTCTCAGACCACCGTGCCATCCACCCCGTCCCCTTAGCTGGCAATTCCGCTTGCTCGCCAGGTGCCCAGCTAGTCTGCGGAATATGGCAGTAGTTACCAAAGGCCTCTATCTGGCTAGCCATATCTCTCCCCAGCTAGCTAGTCCCTCCTCTCGCTACTTAGCTGGCTGGCTAGCTCGCTAGCTGGGTAGCTAGTTACAGAGCTAGCTCGCCGGTGTTTGTGCTGAATCGGGACTGTTGATTCGCCGGCGTTGCGTAGGTAATGGCGTCTGTTTCGCTTCTGATCACTCTTGCTGCTTTTCTGTTTCCGCTGGAGGACGAAAATATGAGGGGCCCAAATGAACGCTGCGAAGGGGCAGAGAAACCACCTATGGCTAAACGACAGCACAAAGCAGAAAAGAAGGACATATGAATTAGCACGCAAGCTTACGAGCAAGACGTTACCGCCTTCTATCTGTAGGTGGCGTTGTGTACGGAAGTGCCTGTCCGTGCCTACGCTCATGTTTGCATTAATACGTGTCTTTATTTATTTCTGTCTCACCAGGCGGCGCCGTGTTAATGTATTGTTGCATCATATCTCTACTAAGTTGCTGCTGCAAATCTCCAAACCATTTCTGTCCCACTAGCTCGAGCTCCGCTGCGGCTGCTGCTGCGAAGCCTCCTCCAGGCCCCGCTAGCGCAGTTAGCTGGGCTAGCTCAGGAGTCCCTGGAATGAAGGTACTGGGGGGCTGCTGTTGCTGTTTTTGTTGCTGTTGCTGTCGCTGCGGCTGCTGCTGCTGCTGACTCCGGGGCAGAGACGAAGGAATTTGCGATGCGGGGCTTATAATATCTGCACACAGAGGAGAACTTACAGGATAGCCCTTCCCCAGACGCTTTCCACCGATTACGCTCTTCGTACCGTTACTATCGAGGAGGCAGCGGTTTTGCGATATCCCTTGCCTGTCTGTATCGTGAAGCGTTCAAAATTTGTGGCACAGGGCTTACCGTATAGGGGTCTGACGATCCCTGGTGCCTTGACAACATCGTAAGTGCTTGTTTGAGGCTTGATTATTTGTCTGCTTTCTACTTGACTTTTCCGTCCTGTCAACATGCAAATACCTGGAGGGCGAATGACAGCCTCAGGCAAGTCTGAAAGCTCCTCTTCCTGCACGCAACAGCGAAACCCTAAAACCTAAACCCTAAGTAACCACATACCAAATACTAATTTCACGTCACCTTAGTTAGAGGTTACGAGCCCTTATGTTTCCTAATCCCATCCTTAAAACGGTCTCCTGCCAGTATTCGGTGCTGCTGACCAAGGCGTTTACGGAAGGTTCTATGCCATTTTCTGGGGAGAAAATAGCTTGGAATTCTTCTTTCTGCTCTTTATTTCCTTCCGATGTCTTCTTTGTTACTTTTAAAACTGAAAGCGACTCCCCTGTCTTGCACACGCGAGCTACAGAAGCCAACTGCAGCGCCAATAGCACATGAACGGCCCAAAACAGCAGCAGCATTAAAGCATACCGACGATAGCAGCACCAGCACCAGAGATGCATTCGCAGCAGCAAAGTTTGCACGGGCTATCTAGAAGTATCTGCCGGGCAGTGTTCAGGCTTTGCTGCAGTTAGGGCATTAGGGGTGAGGGCCGATGATTCATCGAAGGTGTGCGTACGCTGGAAAGAACAACAGTGTTGTGAGTTCTTCCCGCTTCTGCGGCTGCCTTCTGCAGTAACTCAGAGACAGTTGGGATTGTCTCTACCCCTCTCAGGTTAGGCAACAGTTTAAACTGCCCCTCTTGTTGCTGCTGCTGCTGTAGCTGCTGCTGCTCGTGCGCCAGCCCTTGTTGCCCTTGCTGCTCTGCCAGTTGCGGCTGCGTCTGGGGTAGCTGCATGCCACCGATTAAGAAGCGACACTCAGATGGATGCGCCTCGACATGCGTCCCATTCTGAAGAGTAATGACATAATTTGAAATCTATTCTTTAAACCCCAATCCCTCCTGCTTAAATCCTAAAGAGTGACTCGTGTCTTCGGCACGGTGCGTCTGGTTCTGAAATAGACTCTTGGCCACTGGCTCTACACTCTAGCCTCCAGAACTATTCCAAACACTCCCAGCAGACCATGGTTCCTTGAACACAGCGCCAGATTTTGTTACCTGAAGTTTCACCACTAGGTTGTTCGTGGGGGTGACGGCCACAACTCGCCCTTGCCCTCCATTCTTCAAGTGTACAGAAACCTTTTCTGCAAAGGGGCCCTCAGCAGATGACCCGCTACTGTTACTGCTCCCTCTGCTTGGCTGTTCCAAGTTGCTGTTCTGTCTGCTGCAGTTGCTGCTGCAGCCGCTTGCCGTCCCATTTGCCTGAACTGCTCTTTCTGCTGCTGCTTCCGAGGCTTCTGCTGCTCCTGCTGCTGGTGAAGACTCGTTCGGAAAGTATACCGGTAGTTTGATAGGTGGCATAGAGGTTTGCTCCGGTTTCTTACTGCGAGGAAATCAGCCGCAACGTCAAGAATATATGTAAAAAGTGCATGACCTTCAGCAGGCATAGGTGGCGGCAAAGGCACCGCACACAAACATGCAGCAACAGCAGCATCAGCAAATAATATGCTAGGCAAATTAATAACGCGCATCACTTCAGATATTGTCGGAGCAGCAGAAGCAAAAACATGACAATAACAACAGTAACAAGAACAGTAAAAAGGCCAACAAAAGGATATTAGCACACGCAGCAGAGCAGTGCATAGACAGTGTACAAGCATACATTTTGCACAGGCTCCGCAGCCCGTCTGCTAGAGTCCAGTGCACTGGCAGCTTCTGGCGTGACTGCTGCCGCTGTTGCTGCTGCAGTTTGAGAGCAGCAGCGGCAGGACTGATTGCTTCAAAAGGTGCCTCAGCTAGCTTCTTGAGTTCAGAAGCATTTTGGGCAAAGGTAGCAATGCGAGGAAATTCGTGGAGGTCAGATAAGTGAGGCAGCAGAGACAGGGTCATAGAGGGCCAGTGGCGGCGCTCTCCGCCTTCGGGTGTACGTACAGCTGGGGGCACGATAAGGCGCCCCCCGTCTTTGCTGCTGCTAGTCTGCTGCTGCTGCTGCTCGTGTTCTTGCTGTTCTTCTTCATCATTGTGGGACTGGGAACGAGTCGAAGGTTGCTGCTGCTGTTGTGTGTCGCTTGACTCGCGGGAGGAAGCTTCCACCTGCTGCTGCTGCTTGGCGCCCTCATTGCAGCTATCGCTTACCTGGCGAGAGTCTCTCTCATTCACCTGTTGCGCCTGCTGCAGCTGCTTCGGGTTCCACGGGATGCTGCTGCCCCTTAGCTCCTCTTCACTGCTGCCTCTCAACGGCGAAGCAGCGCAGCTACTACTGCTGCCATTGCTACTACCGTCTGTCGAGTGCAGGAGCAAATAGTCATCGAGGGTTCCAGAGTAGGTTGTTACTGCAACAAGCTTCCCTCTTTTTGCCACCCCGCTTGTTGCTGTTGCTCCTGATGTTGCTGATACTGCTGAGTCCGACCTGTTGAGCAGGCCGCGGACTCCTGACGCAGATGAAGCAACAGCTGCTGCTGCGGCTTCTGCTGCTTGTTTTCGCGTCTGTACAAATAACGCGTGTTGTTGTTGCTTTGGGGGCAGCCGTCGCTGCTGCTGCTGTTGCTGCTGCGGCTTACTACGCCGCAGCTGTGCAGGCCTCACCCTTTGAGGGGAATCAATGGAGGTGCCAAGCATTTTGGAGTCTGCGGTTGCTGGAATCGAATTTAGCGTCCAATAAGCCGGCCCTTGTACGGATGCCTGTCTCACCAGATAGCTGCGCCGGTCGGCAGCGGCAGTTGGTTTGTGTTGCTCTATGCCTTGCTTGGGGTCTAGAGTCTAGTTTCTGCTGTTGTATTTAAAATAGAAAAAAATGACAAGAGGATACGAACTAATGTGACCGGCTGGATTGGGAACACGGACTCAGACGAAGGGCGATCGATGGCGCCAGCTGCGGCGGCGCGCCTTTGGGATGAGGGTTTAAGCTCTACGGTTTGCTGCTTAAGGCTTACGGTTTAGTGCTTCGTGGAGAACTCAAAAGGGGAAGAGCCAAGAATGACTAAAAAGGACAAAAATCGTGGAACACCGACACAATCTATCATTGGCTAGTTGCAGCCGACTTGCTTTTGTTGCTGCCGTTGCTGCTAATAAGGCCCGCTGTTGCTGTGGCTGCTGCGGCTGCAATAGATTAGATCGATAAGAAAATTTGCCTGCACATACTTGCTTTTGGTTTAATATTGACACACAAATTAGCAGCAGCTGCAACAGAAACGGCAGCATCAAATACTGCTGCCTTTTCGGACGTCGATTCGGTCCAGCAACGTCGACGCGTTCCGGTGTACAGTATGTTATCCACGGGAACATACACCATGGAGGCCTAAAACATAATTTTAGACCCTTCTCTAAGACCTCTCGTATCTGTACCCAGGCCGTCGCTAGCTGAGGATATCCGCGGTATCAAAGCTGCTTGTAGTCGATGGAAACATTTGCGGCTTATTAATCTTTCCCTAGACGTGCAATCCAACTTGGCGAATAAGAGATACTGCATTAACTTATATACTTTTGTGGACGCTAAATATTCACAGTCGAACGAGCGTGAGAAGTTGCAAGCAACACATGGTTAGTGCCTCTTCTATGGTGCTTGACGTGCATGCAAGCGGAAAACCGGCGGCACAGCACAAAACAGCTTCTTCAGATAGTGATGTGGCTTAATATTCTAGCAACTTTTAGGCGTCCACTATTGAGTTGTAGCTGCGGGTGCACAGCTTTACCGCGCAAGACCCAACTAGGACAGTGACTTTTAACTGAGTAGCTACAACAGGAGAAGCTGGCTACTAGTAGCTGCTGAAGTGACTATCGACCCAAAATATCTCGAAACAAGCCTACAAGCTAAAACTCGAAGTTACTAGAGCTCTGACAAGCAAGACAAAATGACCCGCCCCGCAAAGTGGGTTCAGCAACCTGGGAACCCAACCGGCTGGCCAACTAGCTAGTTGCGAGACACTTTTTCAGTTCGCTATGCAGATATGCAAGCTTGTCTGGACAGCCGCCGGCTAGCTAGCGAGGCAGGGACGGAGCCAGCGGAGGTGGAGCAAACAGCAACAATACGGTTATGCCTAGCAGTGAGCTGAAACGTTGTGTGCAGTTAAGTGAGTGGGATGCTTGACCCCAGTATAGGGGAAGCTCCATGAGAGGAGCTGAGTGCAAGGGCATCAAGGCTGTTGCTACAGTTTCCGCTGCCACCGTTGTTGTCCCTGCTGCTGCTGCTGCTGTTGGTGCTGTGTTCAGGTGCAGTCTTCCTGATGCAAGTGCGGCCACTGCTGCTGCTTCTGCTGGGAGCAGAGACTTCTGTAGAGCCAGTGAGTCCCCTGTTATCTGCTGCTGCTGATGCTCCTGCTGCTGCTGCTGCCGCTGCTTCAGCTGCAGTTGAACGTATCCCACAAGGCAGCTGCTGCTGCCGAGTGTAGAAAAGCAACAGATGCTCTTCTCCCTCGGCATCGCTGCAACTTGGGTCTGCTGCAGCAGCAGCTGCGGCTGCTGCTGACGCTGCTGCCTCTGGGTCCTTTATGTCTGCAGTCTCTGCTGCTGCTGCTGCAGCAACATCAACAGCAGTTCTTGCGAGTCGTGCTGCTCTCTCAGCTGTTTCTTCTGCTGTTCCAAGGCCTGCTGCTTCTGCTGCTTCTGCAGCAGCAGCTGCAGCTGCCGCGGCCACAAGAGGCTGCACAGCCGCAGCTCCCTGTGCGGCAGCGGCAGCGGCAGCAACAGCGGCAGCAGAAGCGAGAGGGTCATAACAACTGAGCTGCTTACGAGGGGCAAAGACGCTGAAGCCAACGCGTGGGACATCGGCACTAGTGGTCCACGCATCAGCCCCTTTGCGCGGCTCAGTTGCTGTTGCTTCCGCGGCTTCTGTTGTTTCTGACTTTGCCACTGACGAAGCTGAACCCCCAAGATTCGGGACAGGATGCTTTTGCTGCTGCTGCTGTTGCTGGTCCTGTATTTTCCTCGACTGCTGCCGCTGCTGGAGCACCACTTGGGGCAGCTTGTCAGTAGGCAGCGCTGCCGCTGCCGTTGTTGCAGCTGCTATTTTCGTTGCAGCTCCTGAGAGCTCATCGGTCTTTGCTTCTGCTTCCCGCAGCTGTTGCTGCTGCTCACTTGTTGCAGCTCCAGTTGCAGCTGTAGCAACAGCAGCAGCAGATGGTCCTCTAGGAAGCCCGAAGACGGGCGGCGACGCAGCACCATGCCTCAGGACAAGCTGCTGCTTCTGCTTCTGCTGTTGCTGCTCGAGGGGACCACCTCGCTGCAGAAGGCGCTGTCTCAACTCCTCATGAAAAGATATTGCTTTCGTCGATACTGGAGATGCTGTTGCTACCCTTCCTCGAGGAGACCCAACAGGTGTCTCTCGGGCTTCCTGCTGCTGTTCCGTCGTCGCTGAAGCAGCGGTCTGCTCCTGCCATTGCTGCCGCTGGTGTCTTTGACTTGTTGTCGACTGCTCTGGGGACCCGAAGGGTATCCTTATGCTTTGTCGTGGCTTCGCTACTGCTGCTGCTGCTGCCGCTGCTGCTGCGAGCTGCAGTGGCTTCACGTGGGAATCTTGCTGCCTTGATGCCGGACCATGGGGCCTCAAGGGAGGGGACAGCGCGCACGGTTCCCGGAGGAGGCACTCAGCTGCCTGCTCTGTTTCTGTTGTTGTTTCTGTTGTTGGCTTCGCCGCTGTTGCACCCCCGCCATCCTTGGGTGTCTGCTGCTGCTGCAGCTGCTGTTGCCGCAGTAGCAGCAGTTCAGAGTCCTCGCAACACTCCCTCTGAATAGCAGCCAGAAGGTCGTGGCGAGGCCTTACAGATTTGTTTCTGGTGGTGTCACTGCTGTTGCTACTACGGCTGTTGTCGGTGTCAGCGCTGTTGCTGCCAAAAGAATGGGAAGAGTGCTGCTTGGGTTGCATGCACTCGGAGGCTGCTTTATGCTCCTGATTGCTCCTGATTTTGTTGCTGCTGCTGCTCTTACTGATGCACTTGCCTTCTCCAGAGCTATGCAGTGGCGACATTAGGGATCGGATCAGCCGCCGGCTGACGCTGCTCCTACTGCAGCAGCTGCTGCTGCTGCTAGCACTATCAGTAATAGCACAGTTCTGGTTTTGGTTCGTATTTCTCATTTCGCCCCCGCTGCTACTGCTGGTACTATTATTACTGATGCCGCCGCCACTATTGCCGTCATTGTTACTGTTGCTGTTGCCTTGGATGTTGCTGCTGCTGTGTTTTACTACTGCGGCAGCAACCGCGACCGGAGACGCCGGGGGATCGCTCACGCGGCTGCGGCGCAGCAATGGCTGCGGTTGAAATAGTGGCAGCAATGCCATACTGTTGCTGTTGCTGTTTGTACTCCCGTTGCTGTTACTGTTATCGCTAGTATCTCTGCTGCACGCCGCTGTTGATGGCTGGTGGTCGATGAGCAGAGGTTTTGGCATCGACTTCTCAAGCATCGCCCCAGCTGCACCTGGTGTGCACTCTCTTCCTGGTGCAGCAACTGCTGCCGGCGCCGTCTCCAATTTTGGGGCTACTTGAGACACAGGAGGCAGTGCAAGAGCACTGCCCGTATCATGTGCTGCTGCTGCTGTTGCGGGGGGCACCGTTGGAGCTTGCAACAAAGCTGATGCAGGACCAGCGAGTTTGGGAGGATCGTCACTGCTGTTATTGCGATTAACGATGCTGTTGCCTGCGCTGCTACTGCTATTGCCGGCCCTAGCAACCCTTGGGGGGCTCTGCTGCTGAGGCTCTTGCAGGCTGATGGAGGCAGTGCTGCTACTGCTCTGGGCACGCAAAAGCAGCCGCCTTGGGGGAGCAGCAGCATACGGTCCTGGGCTGCCCACGTCACCTCTTGCTGTTGCTCCCGCAGCTGTAGTTGCGGTCGCTGCAGTATGAGGTACTGAAGAGGTAAGAGACGCAGAGCCAAGGGATTCAACAGGAAGCAGCACCGCGCGTCGTGTATTACTGCTCCAATCCCCGTGCTGTCTCTGGTGGTGGTGCTGCTGTTCTTGCTGCTGTTGCTGCAGCTGAGGTGGTGGTGGAGGCTCAGGCCGCTGAATAGCGAGGGACAGCGACGGGATGCCGCTTGCTGCTGGTGATCCACCAGCTGCTGCAGGCATCTCGGGAACAGTTGGTACTAGTGCTGGAGCAAGTGTTACTGCTGTTACCGGTGCTACTGCGGGTGCTTCTGCCGCTGGTGCTGCAGGAGCTGCCACTCCCCGTCCTAGGTGCAAGCCCTCTCCCCTACACACAGCAGGAGGAGACCTTCTGACTGGGAGGGTTAAAGAGCCCAGTAACTCCTGAGAGCCTTGCTGTTGCTGCTGCTGCTCCAGCCGCTGGAGGTTCTGCTGTTGCTCTGGCAACGACTTCTGAAGCCGCAGAGACTGTTGCTGGTTGAGCTGCAGTTGTGGCAGTTGAGGTAGCAGCTGCGGGGGCGACCTCACAGATTCCTGCGGCTGCTCCTGCCGCTGCAACTGTTGTTTTTGTTGTTGGAGAAGCTGCTGCTGCTGTTGTTGTTGCAGCTGCTGTAAAAACAACTCGACTGCCTCACTAGTGCCATGGCAAAGTGGGCCATCTAGGTACGACCACGCTTGCTGCTGACGCTGCCGTAGAGGCTGCAGCTCTTGTTGCTGGGGTTGCAGCAAGACTGGCGACTGACGCGTCAGCTGTTCTATCTCG